TGGCAGTTTTAGGAAATTGAACATCTCAAAAACCAAACATTTAGACGGTTGCAGGGTTAAATCAAATAACACATCTTGAGATGGTTGTGAATAATTTTCTATGAATTATTATTAACCCTCTTCAGGTTGAAATACTTTTGATAGATTTTTTTATTACATCTTATGATTTTATAAACTTGCAGATAAATACAATAGGAAGCGATCTAAAGCTGCCCACTGATGCTTCCAAAAGATATTGGGGGGGGGGGGACAGGCTTATTTGAATACTAGCATGAAGGAATTGTAGTTACATGCCACTGAAATGATAATTCTATAAAGATTTTCTTCAAATTATTGCTCTTATTTTTCAACCTAAGAGATATTCACAAGAACGAAAAGGGGGAATATAGTGAACAAATTTGATTTATAAAGATAATTCTGGACATGGTTGAAGTTGATATGTATTAAGATAGATTATTAAGCAGCTATCGAATCCAGCTTTGTGATAAGTGCTGCTGTTATTTATTAGCAAATGTATTAAAATATCACTATCTTAGTGGATGACTGTTATACGCAGCAAAATGTTGGTTTTTAAAGCAATGAGAAGGATGCCTTGGGTAATGAAGAGCAGATGCTAAACATCCAAGCATCAAAAACAGCAGTTATTACAATTATGAAAAACAATATTTTAGATATTGAGAGAATGCTGGGTGTTTTCCTTGAAAAATAAAAATTAGTCTAATAAATATTCAAAATAGTGCAAAAATGAAAGTTATAAATGACATGGATTAAAATCAGATTACTATAGGTCATGAACAGTTCTCAGTTTATTTCAACAGATTTGCATTACAGTTGCAAAATGTATGAGGAGCTTGGTAACACAACTCACTCACTGAGGTCTGTTCAATTACACAGATCACAGCAAAGATTTCAAGAGAAACACCCTTTAAAAAAAAATATGGAGAAGCAACTGAGTTTTCAAGATGTTTATTATCAATAACAACAGAGAGGCTAATAGGTAGGTGAAAAATTATAGAAAAGCAACTGTTTTCAAGATGTATGTTATCAATAACAACAGAAAGGCTAATGTGTAAGTTTATAATATTGGGTTTCATTAAGAAAGTTGCATTAATAGATCAAGCTCAGACATCATATTAATTAAAACTGAATGCTTTGCAATTAGAATCTGTGATTTTTGTTTCTGAAAACTTGTTTATATTTGTAAAATTAAAAATAATAAGACAGAGTACTAAATAATAATTAAAAAACAAAAAATAATCTGAAAAGGTTAAGATTTTAATGATCACTGAAAAGAGCTCTTTTATAGTTTAATATGGTTTACAAGTAGAAATTAACAATACAGATGGCTCAGCAAAAGATTTTATAGGATAGTAGGTGAATATACATTTAGACTAACATGGGAATATTCTACATTTTCTGTCCCTTTGAAAAGTGAAAAAATACATAATGTAATTCTATAATATTGAATTTTTTCATTAGATATATCATAATTGAACACATTTGTATTTCAATGAATCAGATTCAAAAGTAAAGTAATATTATTCTTAAGAACTGCATTAATTGCTTTTAAATAGTTGGTTTATTCATCACTAACAGAAAGACTAAATCTGAAAGATCTTATGTTTTTCTGAATGAAAACTGAAACAATGCAAAATCTTGTCTCGAGGCTAATAGACCTTTTGGGCTAAAAATAATTAAGTGATGAAAAAAAATGAATTTTTGGAAAATGCGAGCACTTTGAAGGAAATAAGTAAGGAAGTATCTCTCTTAGAGACTATGCATATCACAGTCAATGCAGGGAGTTAATCTCTTAAAATCAGTTAATGGCTGTTTTTGCAAAAGTGGCATTTATGCAGAAGCTTCACAGAAATTGCAAACTAAAATCCTTCAGATAACAGTGAGGGATGATATGAGGATTCATTTTTATATGTATTAATTCACAACACTAATGAGATAAAATGTGTAACAAAATAAAAGTTGCATTTATTTTCTAGAGTATTATGGAGAGCGGCTACGTTTCAGCTGAATTCATCTCTGTGTTTAATCTTAAAACTAAATCCCTCATAAGCTTCTAGTACTTATTATTACTATATTCTCTCTCTACCCTCATCTTTCTAGTGCCAAGTTATGAAAATTTTAAAACCATTTGTTTAATTTTCCCCACCCTCAGAGACTGCAAAGGTCATGCAGAACCTTTCCCTTCTGCTGAACTATACACCAGCCTAACACAAGAAGGGACCCATCACAGCAAAGCAAATACAAACTGACATTCAGTCTATGATTTTGGTGAGTCAGCTGCACATTCACTTTCTCTAATCATTTATGAATGGTTTGAGCCAAAGAAATAAAACAGATAATTATAAGAATTGGAAAGATTAATATTATACGGAAGCAGAAATGAAGATATCTTATCAGAAATTGTAAGGCTAATATTAGTACGTATTCTTATTTGAATGTAGATTTCTTTGAAAGATATAATATTGTAATAGTTGCCTGTAGTTTATCTACATCTACTTTTCATTTGTTATGTTCTATGTAACCATGTCCTTCAAAAATTAAATTATTGGTATAATTTCCACCTTTCGATTTTTGGATGATAAAATTAGTAAAAATAAAGGGGGAAATATGGAAGGAAATACAGTATTTAGTCTGTTTATCATTAATGAAGGATGGCAGGTATTCTCCACGACAGATAGATGGCACTCAAGGCCATTCAACAGAGCTGTTAGTAGACAGAACATCAGATGAAGAAACGACGTGCAGACGTAAGACATTTTATAACAATGTGAAGATGAAGTTCTCTTAATATGATAATTATCATCTGTATGTACTTCCATCTTGTTTCACATACGTAATCACTTTTTGATAAACGTTAAAGCTCAGTTAATAATTCATTTGGAATCAAGTGTATGTGTTCTCCTAGACACAAAGAGCAATTTTACATTTTGGAGGCTTGACACAAATTGAGCTTTGGGCACAAGAAATAATTAACAATTAAGATGTTCGAAGAACTCAGACTGCAAGTTTGCTTTTTGGTTCATTTACTTTTAGACTGTTACTTATAAGAATAATGAACTGTGCAGTTAAACAAGATGAGCACACTTCATTCTATTCCTAGAATTTCTGATTCATTAAAAATTGATAGAAGCTGAAATTCAGAGCAACTTCATCAAATCTAGAGACAATTTATGTAAAGAGATGAAAAAGCAGATTCAGAAGATCGAAGAAGAAAACTGAAGACTTTCAATCGAAGTAAAAAATTCCCTCTTAAAAACAAAATCGATGATATGGTAGCTATCAAACTCACCCAGTTAGGGACATGTATAAAGCTAAAATCCATATTTTTAGGTCCGAACAAAATCATAAGAGTGAAACCTAATGACACATATGACAATGAAAAAGCTGAATTTGCCATGACGCATGCGTTGACGTTGATGCGCGTTGACGCATGCGCATAGGCGTTTACGCGTGCGCGTAAGACCTTTACGGCTTCGAATATGCGTGTGCGCATGCGCATAATACGTTTACGCATGCGCGTTTAATGTTTAACGGACGGTATAAGCTAAGCTAAAATTATCTAATTCAGTTAATGTTGCAGATTGCGTTGTTCCTTAATCTTCGAATTGGATCGCCTTATTATTTTTTACAGACTGTTAGAGCAATTTTATAAAAGTAAGCTTGAACTTTCGATTATGTCAAATAGAATTTCCGATATATATTTACTAATATGTTAAGGATCTACAAAGCGAAAGTATGTTTCGAAGTCCATTAAACAGAAAGTGGAATTACTGCAAAAAATGGATAAAAGCATATACTTTGATTATCTAATCATTCCGAAATATGTTTATCAATTTCACGCTGCTCTGCGGGGAGGGGAGGCAAACGACGCGGTGCACAATGAATTGGAAGTTGATCTGTCAACACTATCCTTATCTTCAGGGCAGATGTTTTTATTTTATTTGGCTTATAATTCCTTACTAAATGTAATATTCATCTCGATGTACTTCCGTCTTGATATGATTTAATCAAGTTCCTCGTCATTATAATTCGCTTCCGATAGTGAAGAAAGTGATGCAGGGTTATTGAAAACGAAAAAATTCGATTGACAATTAGTCGGTATTCTCGACACAGCAATTATAGGACTTGAACAGCCGAACTTTGTAACTACTAAACAAGAAATTATGTCGTGTTTATAGAATTAAAGAGAAGTAATATCACATGAAACAAAGCACTAAACAACTTACATTGAAAGAATGTTAATAAAGTTAACAAAAAATATTAAGCTTTTTCTTTTTGTAAATTTTGATACCCTTTAGATCATAATTGTTCTTTACTTCCTAAATTACGGTTTCATATTTTTAATTTTGTAAGTTCTGCAGGCCATCTTACCATATTTAATCTGATGATCTATAATCCGTAAAAATCGATAATCTGGAATCGTCGAAGTCCCGACGAGTCCGGATTAACGACTTTTGACTGTATATAGGTTGGGGCAAATAAAAGTGGCTCGCAAAACAGAGTAACTCTGCTCGCTGGGCCATTTTTATTTGCCGCTCCCTGTATTTACATATTTAATAAACATAATTCACTTAACATAACACTTCAAAATTAATTAATTGTGATTAACTATAATTTTCAGGTATAATATGACACAATAATTTAAATTATTAAAAATTTTTCTTATTATCACAGACAATATTAAAAATCCCATGTTAAATATAGCCATTTCAAATCTTTATTATTGTAAAGTGATATGTAAAGAGATCATACATTAATACTTTTTTTGGGGGGAAGGAGAACTATAAAAAATTTACGATTCTTATTTTCAATTTCTAAACAGCAAATTAAATCAAAATTATTTTTCATTATGCATTAACTGCACTGAAGTCAATAAGCATACTTTTAAATGATGACTGATGAAAATTTAGGCTACATAGAAATGTTAAAAACATTAGGCTGCATAAAATTCAAATAACCATACTGAATCATACCCACAGCAATTAAAAATGAAAAAAAAATTTATTTATTAAAAAACGTATCACATTTTGATAGCAAAGTAGTCAAGAAACTAGGATATATATCCTTTCTTGCACTAGAAGGTTGGAAAAGAGATTAAATAGGTAGGAACTTCAATATTTAAAAGGAACTGAAGTTTAAAAAAGTTTCATGAGCATATCATGTTCCTTATAAAAAATTTCAAACACATCACATTCTGCTACCTTTTCACAGTAGTCTTCTGTAAAGCTGGAGAGTTTTTCCCATGATCAATTTTTGTCAAGTTACTATCTAAAATTCTGTATGTTTTATGAACTTCAATGTTAGTGTTATTAGTGTTTAAAAGATATGAATTAAAGTTCTGGAGTGACATATCACTGGAATTCTGTACAGCAGTAGCATTAATTAAGTATTTAGCAGCTCTTAAGAAATGATTTTCATTGAGTTTTTCATTTTTATTGTTCTTTAATACAAGTGATGATTTGGATTGTTTTTTTCCATCTGGATATGGTAATTGATTTGGAGATGTTATAAGTGAGAGATTTAATTTATTCAGCACTCTATCACAAGACGCTTGGACATCCATTACTTGTTTGTATGTGAAACGCTCACGCCAACTAAATGCCATGGCTGTAGTGTTTCTTCTAGTTGAGTATGGATTTTTATCATCAGTTCTTCTACCAACTGTATGAGTTTTCAGAAATCTCTGAACAGATGGAGAAAAAGGCAGCTTCAAAAATTTGAATAATTTTTGAGACTCCAGCTGGGGATTTAATGAAAGATCTTCATAACGTACTTTTATGAAATTTGATGGTTGTTGTTCTTGAAGACTGTCAAATATCTCAATATCTTCAAGCATTTCATGACACAGAACTCCAGAATCAGAACATTCAGTTCCATTACACCAATCTAAACTCCATCTAGAACTTACAATACCTCTGGGATCTCGTGTAAGATACACGACTTTGATTTCCATATCTGGATTATCTTCCAAATAGTTACGTAAATGGCGCATATGAAGACGAGTTACTTTCATCACATGAACAGGTGCCCTTTGGCAAACAGCTGCAACAAATGTAGGACTGAAACATATTTTTGGATTACTGCGACAAGTACTCCATAGAAACAAATTGTGAGCAAATAAAAACTGATTTCGTGGCTTCCGTACCCACTGCAGGTAACTTTTGACTTCTGAAAAGTTACAGTTAAAAACAGCATTAAATAAATTAAAAACATCCGGTATTTTCTCATCTCCAATACGACTGTCATAGGTCATTGAATGTAGAGGTTCAAAATGATAGAATGTTTTCCAGTTCTGCTGCAAGAGATCACCAAAAAATGATGAACCAGCTCTGAAATAAGTTAAAACAATTATTCTGGTTACATTTTTAGAATTTACTAAAGGCATTGACTTTAGTGACTTCATTGGATCAATAGCTGGCCTTCCATGAATAATACTACTTTGCTTAAAAATCTCTTGAATCCGGTCTTGCCTACTAATTAAGTTAACAGATTTTCCACGTTGACTTGAAGGATTTCTACCTAATGGTAACTGTTTAACAGTGACTTTTGCTTGTATACGCTGGGATGTTTCAGACACTGTAGACAATATAGTTTTATTCTTAACAATTTCGTACATTTTTGAAACTTTGGAGATAATTCTTGGATGTGAAGTTGTCGAAATTCCATCTGTTTTAAAATTCATTTTCTTGACAATTCCTGGATGTGTTGTTCTAAATGTTCCATGTGTTTTAAAATTCATTTTGACATCAGGTTTCTTTTTTAAAAGTACACCAAGATTTAATTCTGTAAAAAAAATCATGCAATTAAAATCATATGTTTAAACATATTATTGAATTTTAGAAAATAATACATATACAGTCAAAAGTCGTTAATTCGGACTCGTCGGGACTTCGGCGATTCCAGATTCTCGATTTTTCCGGATTATAGATCATCAGTTTAAACCTGGTAAGATGGCATGCAGAAATTATAAAATTAAAATATGAAACCGTAATTTATGAAATAAAGAAAATTATGATCTAAAAGGGTATCAAAATTTACAAAAAGAAAAAGCTTAATATTTATTTGTTAACTTTATTAAACATTTCTTTCAATGTAAGTTGTTTAAGTTGCTTTGTTTCATGTGATATTACTTTCTCTTTAATTCTATTAAACAGACACAATTTCTTGTTTAGTTACAAAGTTCCGCTGTTCAAGTCCTATAATTACTGAGTCGAGAATACCGACTAATTTGTCAATCGAAATTTTTTCGTTTTCAATAACCTCTGCATCACTTTCTTCACTATATTATAATGACGAGGAACTTGATTTAAATCATATCAAAGACGGAGTACATCGAGATGAAGTACTACATTTAGTAAGGAATTATAAGCCAAATAAAATAAAAACATCTGCCCTGAAGATAAGGATAGTGTTGACAGATCAACTTCCAATTCATTGTGTGCCGCGTCGTTTCCCCCCCCCCGCAGAGCAGCATGAAATTGATAAACATATTTCGGAATGATTAGATAATCAAAGGATATGCTTTTATATCCATTTTTTGCAGCAATCCACTTTTTTTGTTTAATGGACTTCGAAACATACTTTCGCTTTGTAGATCCTTAACATATTAGTAAATATATATCGGAAATTCTATTTGACATAATCGAAAGTTCAAGCTTACTTTTATAAAATTGCTCTAACAGACTGAAAAAAATAATACGCCGGATCAAATTCGAAGATTAAGGAACAACGCAATCTGCAACATTAACTGAATTAGATAAATTTTAGCTTAGCTTTTACCATCCGTTATACATTAAACGCGCATGCGTAAACGTATTATACGCTTGCGCACACGCATATTCGCAGTCGTAAAGATCTTAGGCCCACGTGTAAACGCCTATGCGCACGCGTCAACTCGACGCATGCGCAGAAAGTTTATAGCATGGAGGTCCGGATTGTAGATCATTGCGGATTATGGGTGTCCGAATTAACGACTTTTGACTGTATTACAGTACAAAGTCTCTAATCCCAACGCCCGTTATCCGGAATGATCTATAATCCGGACCTCAAAGCATTACGCATGCACGTAAAGCCAGTAAAGCGTTTACCCATGCGTGCTTCCAATAGTGAAGAAAGTAACAGAAAACATTATTGAAAAAGAAAAAAATTTCGATTGACAAGTTAGTCAGTATTCTCGACACAACAATTCAGGACTTAAACAGTGGAACTTTGTAACTAAACAAGAAATTATATCTTTTTATGGAATTAAAGAGAAAGTATTAGCACAAAAAACGAAGCAACTTAAACAACTTGCACTGATAGAAATGTTTACTAAAGTAAACAAATAAATATTTAACTTTTTTTTTTGTAAATTTTGATACCCTTTCGATCGTAATTTCTCTTTATTTCATTAATTGCGGTTTCATATTTTTAAATGTATAATTTTTGCATGCCATCTTACCAGATTTAAATTGATGATCTATAATCCGGAATCGCTGAAGTGCCGACGAGTCCGGATTACGGACTTTGTACTGCATTAACTATGAGAATGCATACTTATAAAATTTCAAAAAAAAAAAAAAAAAAGAAAAAAGTCCAAGTCATTTTATAAGTTACATTTTAAAACTACTGGAATTAAAATGTAAGTATTATCTCATCTTACCATTGGATTAAAAACAATTCTTTAGTACTAAGTAAATTTAAAACTCAATCCAAAATAAAATCTAATCCTGATTTAGTACTATTGATTTAATCCTTTGCTGATCTGACTGGCAGTTTAGTAACAGATATCCTCACTTTAATGCATTGATTTTATAAAAACAATGTATTTTAAATGCGTGGGTAAAAAGGAAATTGTGGAATATGGTTTCAGAAAATAGAATGCAATTTGTTGACCGATGAGTAAATACTGTTTTTTATGAAAGAGAATTGATATTTCCAAGCTAAGGATAGACAGATGACTAATACTGCTCCAAAAGATTTGAATTTTAAATATTATGTAAACTGCAACTTACAAGTTTACATAATATCTCAAGAAATCTATGAGCCTGAAATTATTGAAACATTTAAGAGGAAAAGAAAGTAAACGTAGAAAAATTCAGTTTTAAAAATGAAGAAGATTTAGTTTAAATAGGTACTTTTCTGTTGTGAGCCTGCCACGCATTTTGGTGGGTTTCTTAATTGTAAATAATAGATCTTAGCTATAAGGATAATTTACAAATGGCCCCACACACATCCCAAATTGCGTGCCAGGTGCATAACGGAAAAGTATCCAAAAATATTTGTCACCTCAGATGAAGCAAATGAAGCTTTACAACGTTAAAGAAAGGTATCTGAATACATTTGGCTTGGATATGATTGTTATTATAGTATTCAAATTATTAACGACAATATTGCTATAAGGTGTAAAACAAGGTAGAATTGCATTCAAGATAATTTTTTAAATGAAAAATGTACAGTACAAAGTCTTTAATCCAAAATTCCATAAACCGGAATGATCTATAATCCGGACCTCAAAGCTGCAAACTTTCTACGCATGCGCCTAATACGTTTACGCATTTTATAATTTCTGCATGCCTTCTTACCAGATTTAAATTGATGATCTATAATCCGGAAAAAAAACCTAATCTGAAATCGCCAAAGTCTCGACGAGTCTGGATTAAAGACTTTGTACTGAATATAAATGCAACAGATAATTACAGTCAAAAGTCTTTAATCCGGATTCGACGGAACTTCGGCGATTCCGGATAATCTATCATCAGTTTGAATCTCGTAAGATGGCATGCAGAAATTATAAAATTAAAAATATGAAACCGTAATTTATGAAATAAAGAGCAATTATGATCTAAAAGGTTTCAAAATTTACAAAAAAAGCTTAATATTTATTTGTTTACTTTATTAAACATTTCTTTCAACGCGCGCATGCGGTAAAGCATACGTTACGCATAGTCGAAATTAGAAAGTTGCAATCAGAAAACTATTTGATGTGTATTTGTGATATATATAATGACAGGAATTTGATTTAAATCATGTCAAAGACGGAGTACATCGAAATGAAATACTACATTTAGTAAGGAATTATAAGCGGAATAAAATAAAAACACCTGCCCTGAAGATAAGGATAGTGCTGACAGATCAACTTTCAGTTCATTGCGCGCCACGTTGTTCCCCCCCCCCGCAGAGTAGTGTGAAATTGATAAACATATTTCGGAATGGTTAGAGAATCAAAGGATATGCCTTTATGCATTTTTTGCAGCAATTCCACTTTTAGTTTGATGGATATCGAAACATGCTTTCGCTTTGTAGATCCTTTGGTAGCTCCAGAATCGGAAATTCTTTTTGACATAATCGAAAGTTCAAGGTTACTTTTATAAAATTGCTCTAACAGTCTGCAAAAAATAATAGGCCGGATTCAATTAGAAGATTAAGGAACAACGCAATCTGCAACATTAACTGAAATAGATAATTAGATAATATTAGCTTAGCTTATACCGTCCGTTATACATCAAACGCGCATGCTTAAACGTATTATGCGCATGCGCAGAAAGTTTGTATCTTTGAGGTCCGGATTATAGATCATTCCGGATTATGGACGTCCGGATTAAAGACTTTTGACTGTATTACATACAAACTAAAGTTGGTAAAAGTTACTTATAAGGTGTAAGTAGGCAACTATGTAAAAAAAAATCAAGCTATTAATATTTATCATAACTCCACAAACAGTATCAACATATCAAAAGAAAATAATTCAAAATGCAATTATATGATACATTAAATATTATACATTACTGATGTATAAAGCAATCTGTTTTCACGTCAAAATAATTGCACAAATTCAGCATTGTGCACATTAAACATATCATATGACACATTACTGCTTTCCTATTCATACCTATAGAGATCTATTTCCACTTAAAAAGAAATCACAGAATTATACAAGTGACATTTCACACCAGCAATAGTAAGTAGGGTTACAGATTAAAATCATTATCTAAGAAGGTTATTGCCAAATTTGGATTGCTCTTTCACTATAGCCCACAAAATTTAGAAGTTTGTGATGCTTAATGTTAAGATAAATTTTTGATTAAATAACAATTTTTATAGTCCTTTATATAAATTCTATTTGGCTGTACTTTTATTTTGGTGCTACTTGTTTTTGATAGCCCTCATGATAAACTGCCAAATTATGTAAACCCTATGAAATCATAATAATCTTTTTTCAGTTCAACCATTTATGTAAAAAATAATATTTTTTCTTTCGACATCTGTTTCCCGAATTTCATGAACCATGAAATATCCAAATACTTTTTTTTTTTTTTGCTTTAAACATTGATGTAAAAAACAGTATTTCCGCTTTCACTTTTAACTTCTATCTGCCATAGTAATTCACACTATGACCCTGCAGGGTAATCCATAAATGCATAGGAGTGCGAGATCTTTTCTCAACAGCATGTAACAAGGCATCCCGGATATGCTAAATAATGTCAACGCCGGGGATCTAGGTAGCCAATGACTATATTTAGAGTCAGAAGAGTTTTCCTGGGGCCACTCGGTACCAGCACTTAACATGTAGGGTGTTGCACTGTCCTGCTAGAAATGTTGAAGTTTGTTGGAATGCACAATGGACATGAATGGGTACATGTGATTGGACAGAAAGAACCTAGATGTATCAGGGGTCCCATATCATGCCAACTGCTCACACCCCATACCATCATAAAGTCTCCACCAGGTACAACATGCAAAATTCATGGATTCATGAGGCTATCTCCAAACCCGAACACCCATTCATTTGCCTAACACA